AAATACAGCAGGAAGAACATGAAATCATTAATGCTGAAGGGTTTAGTCTTCCATTGCTAATGGTGACTGTATGATTTTGAAAAAGTGATGAAAGCTGACGCATGAAAATCATGAAGGATATTTAATATGGTTGGATTGGTTCTCCCTTTGAGGTGGATATGATATGATCTAAAAGTGACAATATAATAGCAAAATAATTTATAGAGGACACTGAAGATATCGATGATTAAATCATTTGGCCTCCTATAGAGGTATAGTGGCAAAATTTGAAGGAGATGATGAGGCAGTTTTAGAAGGGCATAAAAGCCACTAAAAATGACTTAATTTGTCATCCCTAAACATGACAAAAAAAAGTTGAAACTGTACGTACGACACATCTAGGACGGGGGATTACTTGGTGTCTTTACACAGCTCACCTTGACTTGTTGGTTGAGAGCTTATGATTCCAACTAAGAGGTTTTGGATTCGAGTCTTTATGTATGCGTTGTGTGTGTGAGTTTGCCTTAAAATGGCCTAAATGTCCAAAAGAAAAAAAGAACTTATAAGGAAGCTTTAAAACATAAATTTCTCTTATTTTATAAAATAATGAAAATAAGACTAGTTTTTTAGGAATGATTTTATTTAATTTGTTTTAAATGAAACTCCAAAATGATAGAACAAAGATAATATTTTTTTTTCTTAATATGATCAAACAAAATATTAACTTTCATAACTATTTTTACTATTACTATTTTTTTTTTTAAAATATGGATTCTAAAATGATATCAGTACTCAATATATAACAGTAACATATTTAAAATAAATAAAAATAAGATTGAGTAAATCAGTTTATAGAGATTTTCACTAATAGTACTCTCTCCTTCTTCAAGAAAAACAAAGAAGTCTCTCTACTTCATAGGTAATTTAAAAAATTCTCATGCTACTCTTCTCCTTAAAAAGATTTCAAACCCTCACTTCCTCAGCTTGATTCACAAGGTACAAAGAACTTCACCAAGATCTTCAAAGCCTTTAAAATAAGACTTTTCAAAGCTCTCCATCAAGAGCTTTGACTACCCAGATGAACAAAGGATATGATTAGAGGAACAACTAAGTGATACCTTACTCATTCAATCTATCTAGTGGATAGTACTCTGCAATACACTGACTTTTTGATCTGATTCGTTGCATGAACAATCACTATACCATACTTAATTTTTTTTCCTTTTCCTATATTTTCCTGCACAAACACTATTAAAAAATTATATTTTCAATAAAAAATTAACATATAAAATATAATATTATTTACACTTATCAAATCATCTATAGATTAAACTCTTACTTTTCTTCAAGCTAATAAAAGTTTCTAATTCTGATTAAGTGATTAACCAAAATAAAAAGCACCTTGGGATAATACATCACTCTCTAGAATTAGTAAAAATGAATTAAAGCTATACTTCTAATTTAGAAAAATACCAATAGTTAAATTTAATCAATTATTTTATATTTACCTAATTTGAAATTATAGGTTATAAATTTAATCTTTAACTTTTAAATATTGAAGTGAATAATATAATTTTAATAATTGGATATGATTATAGTTAAAATTTTACTTTCATTAGTTCACCATCCCTTGTATTAGCTCTCTCATCTTATCAGGTTGTAGTTAAAATTATACTTTTATTAGTTCACCATCTATTGCATTAGCTCTTTCTCATCTTATCCTTTATAGTTTTTTTATAAGATTGTATTTCAAAGCTTAAGCTTTCACTAATACTAATTCTTTAATTTAATATCATTAGATTTATATTAATATTAGTATATAATATATTATAGTATATATATATATATACATTTTCCCATTCTTTTTCTTTTTAAGAGACATGTGTAATTGTATTTTAATGGAGTAAACATTATACTAATGATTTGAATAATAGATTATCTAATTTTTTAGAATCGATAACATTCGAATAATTTTAATGATGGACTGATGAAATTATTAAATTCCATCTTCATAGCTCATATTATCAAATTTAATCTACTAATATCTAAGTTTCATTAAATTATTATTCATATTACAATTTTTAAAAGTTTATACATAAATGTATAAGCTATATTATAATGTCAAGATAAAGCGAAATAGCTCAGAAGGAGTTAAGTATAGTTTTTCCAAACTCATCGAATCTATGAAATCATAGCTTCATTTAAATTAGAATTCAAGGTTTCTTTTAATCCTATTTTTTCATAATTCTTAGAATGTATTATTTTTAAAAGTTAATTCAAATAATCGAGACAGTATAACAGTCAATTGACAGGATACTAATAGGTATGTAAGCAGTGAAAAAAAATTTGAATATGTAAAAATAACATCAGAACACATGATCTTTTCATGGATGATGATAAAGAGTGTATAAAAATTTCTTGAACATCAACATGAAACATATCAACGAATGTTCATCAAGACTGGTTTCTATATGACTACATATATGGGTGTTACCTCGAACAAAAGCACAAGGTTTAAATCTTTAGCCAGACTATATATAATATATATGATTATATATATTTATTATATATATAGTATATTATATATTCGGATATAATATATAATATATATAGTCACTATATATATATTATATAAGCCTACAATCTTCAGAATCGCAGCCTTCCTCATCTTCTTCTCTTCTATCTATCTCTCTCCTCTAGTATGCTCTACACAACTTGTTTGTAGTTTGAACAATCCACAATTATGTTATCATGCATCACAATATGATTAGCTTATTAACTGCCTTCAAGTATAGACATGTCTTTGAACAATCATATAATTGATTAAAATATTCTCTATTATATGATTACGATATGATCTTCATACAAGGATAAGTATTGTTCCCTCACTTGCAATTATTAACTAGTCCTAGATCTCCATCCTAAATTAATTAGCTAAATCGGCAATAACAAGTATAATAAATTCATATCATACTGCATGATTAATTGAATTTTGAAATAAACCTATTTAAGAATAAGAACTAATAACAATTAAATGTTTAATATATAAATGATTGCGCATATCCAACTTGATTCGATTTATAATTATGATGTATGTTTTTATTACTTATTAAAATTAACAAATTCCCTCACGCTAATAGCGACTTAGATTATCAAAAAATTTTCTTACCTTCAAACTATTTTTTAAATACTCTCAAACTCCACCATATTATCACGTAATCTCACCACGAAAAGAGAATTTCTTCTAGTCATCTCATACATTCTTTGTAGAATTTCTCCTTTTCATTGTTGACAATCGGCTGATGAGTTTGAAGCAAGCATAGATAGCAATCCTCCTTCATAGCGCTAGAGTATGGCAGTAGCTAAGACATTGCATGCGAGCGATAGTGAGGATAATACATATACACTAGGCTTGTTTGTGGACTGCCTATTTTTATTGCTTCTAAAACGAGTGATACATATTTCTTTTAATTTTTTTCATAAAAGTTCCTGTTTAAAGTAATAAAACAAAACCGTCCAACGAGAGCGTGAATGGCCCGTATCCTACTATTATGAACATTAGGAAAATCAGTACTTGTTAATAAGAAAGAAATTGTGTCCCGACGAAAATATGCAAAGAGAATAAAATATAAAACAAATTAGCTAATCCAATCACCCTATTTAAACAAAAGTACATTGCATTCTCTCGATTTTTCTAAGGCCATATCATTAATTTACGCAATTTACTTTATCACAGAAATTTTATGCATTTACATATTTAACATATAAATATTTATATTTATATATACAACACTCAATCTCTAAATTATATTAAAAATATCACTAACATTATTTTAAGTAAAATATGTTTTTTAATAAAAATATTTTGATGTTATTTAAATAGTAGATTGCTATATAATTAAAATATATAAATTTAAATATTAGATATGTAAATATATAAAAATTTTATATTATGCATGTAAATTCGCATTTTATTTCTTATGAAATTTTTTTTAGATAGTGCAGCAATACTCTTCTAATAAAGTGTGAGGCAATTAGGGAGCTGGCATTCCCTTAATGTTACTTGCGTTGACAGCTTACACATATATAAGGACTGCTTCCATTATTAGTGAAGAAGTTTGTTTTTTACCAAAAAGTCTAACAAAGAAAATACGCCAACTTCTTTGTTTACAGTTTTGTATTAACGTAACCTGTATGTATTTCATATCACTTTTTTTTGTGACGAGGAAGCACTGTTCTTAGGCCAGTGAAAATCCCGGTCGACCTAGCATGCAACCCACTCCAATTTACATGGGCCAAGTTTGTTTTTTAAAAAAAAGTCTAACAAAGAAAATACGCCAACTTCTTTGTTTACAGTTTTGTATTAACGTAACCTGTATGTATTTCATATCACTTTTTTTTGTGACGAGGAAGCACTGTTCTTAGGCCAGTGAAAATCCCGGTCGACCTAGCATGCAACCCACTCCAATTTACATGGGCCAACACTTAAGACTTTCACTACTTGCCAAGGGATTCGAACCAGGGACCTGGGCTTTGCCCAACCGGCTCTTCACCACCCGGACAAACAACGGTAGATTATTTCATATCACTTGTTCTGCTTTAAAAAAATGGTGTTGATTGTTAGAAATTTTCCGCACATATTCCCTATGTTGAAATGCTCTAATAATAGGAAATTGCATCAGAAAGCCAATGAGAATTAGATAAGTCTCTAGAACAACATGCCTAGTTTTTAGTACGATATGAAAGTAAGAAAGAAAATAAATTCATGTTTCATTTGAGACGGCTTTCTTACTGCTTCCTAAAGTATATTTTTATTACAAAAAGTATAATGAAAAACTGCTTTAAGAAACAATAAAAAAGCCGTCCTAAACGATGCCTCAATCACTTAGTTAATTATGTTATTCATATACAAATGACAATTAAAAAAGAGCTACAATGCTTCATAAAATAAAATATAGTGTTAAGGTAGGGCCTAAAATTGAATGTTTGTCACAATTATGGCCATGAACCAAAGGTTCAAATAACAGAAACAGATTCTATTAAAGTTGATTTCATCAATTTCTCCTTAACCGCAAGTTTTTCAGTTTCATGGATTCAATATGATCGTTTAGAAGTTTTTGCCTCGACTGTTAAAGAACTTAACATATATAAATGGTAACTTTCTGGACATCTAAAGATACAATCTGATTGCAACAGCCGCATCAACAAAATCTGTGAAAAAATAAGAAAATAAAAAGAAGCAAAGCTGCTCCAGAAAAATTTTACCCTGCTTCCTTCCATTTGACAAACAAAGCAAGCAAAAGCCAAATGAACACGTTTATATGCCTATAATAAAGAGAAAATATCAGAGATATCAGAAGGCAGAAAGGCACCTACCTACCAGATTACCAAGCTTTGGTTTGTATTGAATTCACTCGCATCCAACGTCATTTTTTTCCATTTTGATCTTTGGTTCAGTCGGGCTGGGGTGCTCTACATATAGCTGCAGTTTCAGAGGCTCGCTGCTCATTGATTTTATTGGTGTAATGCAAGGAGGCTGCAGCCATTGCTTAGTGTCCGTTGGAACCCACATTTGCGCCTTGGTGTCATTATTTTCATCAGGAAGGGCACGAAAGTAAGAAGTGATCTCCCAGCTGCTTCCTGTAGGAAATAAAATTCAAGCAGCTTTTGAGGAATCAGTTTATGAGAAAGCAGTTTTATGCTGGTAAAAGAAAATTTGAAGAGGATACCAGGAGGAAGAGATTTTGTAAGTGGCTTAGCAACCGTTAACTTCACCAGGAATGCCCTCAGAGCAAACTCGAGGTCATTCTCCTCAACTGTAGAACTGTGTGATTGGCTGACTGTGAGTTTGAACACAAATCGCTCGACTGGAATGTGATCCTTATCATAGAAAATAACTGCAACCCTCTCAATTAGGCCCTGTTATAGAAGAGAGTAAGGCTTCGTTTGGGATGGCATTCTTACCGCTTCGTAATGCAGCTTTTTAGTACAAAAAATTTATTTTTTGTGCTAGAAAATTGCTTTAAGAAGCAGTAAGAAAGTCGTCCCAAACGAAGCCTAAATCTTAATTTACACGGACTTCATGGACAGATAAAGAGTGGAAATGTAAGCCAAGCACACTAAAGTGGTTTTTCCTAAGCTGGCTGGTTTCAGCACCCAGAAGATAAAAGATTCAGCAAAATATATGGAGAAATTGTGAAAAATAACGATTAGTTATATACTGAACACAGCCTTTTTCTTCAAAAGAAAGGGGATAGAAAGATGTGAATTAAATGAGCAGTGTCATTAGCAACAGTCAATATGAGAATTCATTCGCATCCATCATCTTTCATTACTCACCAACCAATAAATACAAATTTATTTAATTCATCTGTGAGCTTAAACATTGAATTAAGAGGGAAGAATGAAAGAAGGATTTCATGCATATTATTTTTCCATGGCTTGTGCAGGCTTGTGAGATTATTATGTAAGTAAATATTGAGGTGCTGTGATAAAGCCACCTGATGCAGAATGTGAATGCCAAAGAATGGCTTGTTATATTTCCAATTTTATATAATGCTTTAGCAATCGTTCAATTATGCAGTATAATGTGTATATCTTTTCATGTATACCGTAGTCATACATACTTGACATGATGCAATTGGAGCATTTTGAGAACATTCGTGTTCCTCAATTCAGTTTTAGGTTTATTTTTAATGTTTTAAGGGCAAGGGAAAATTAGATTTTTGTTTTCCTTTTCCTAACTGATATAAGCAGATTTTGTTTATTCATTATGAAATCTAATTGTGTTAATTAATTGGGTTGCACTATTAAATCAAAAATCAATTCCATCAGTCGAGCTCTACGAGAGGCTCATTGAGGATTGCAGGGGGCAATTACTCTGGGGTTTGGAGGTAAGGCCCCAAAGGTGCTGATTTTATAGCGCTAAAACGCTATGGACTCAGTGCCTAGTTAGTGTTGTAGACCCCCCATGAGAAAAAGAACTCAAGGCCCAGGCGCTTTGAAACCAATGTGAGACTGAGAACCCAATGTCGTGGCACTACGAGATCGACGCCGCGGTGCTACGGGCCAGGTGTTTTTTTTTTTTTTTTTTTTTGCATTGTGCTAGTTGTAATTGAATGGTGGCTATGCTCTGGCATATGAAAGGAGGTGAAGGCTGCGAAAGAGTATAAGAAGAGAGGATGATCTGTAAAATTTCTTCTAGTTTCAAAGTTGATTTCTTTAAGTTGGCTTCGTGTTTTTTTCCTATTTACAACTTTTTCATTAAAATTCTAGTGTTCTTTCTTCGTTGGTTTTTTTCCTAGTTTATTTCAATTTTGTTTACTCCCAACAACAAATATTAAAGCCACATTCTTTGGTTCAACTGGTAGCAATGGCTTATAAAACAAGGTACAATAATGAGAAATTTAATGGTTCGAACTTTACTTTCTGGAAGATGCAAATTAAAGATCTACTCTATCAAAAGAAGTTATATTTGTCACTAGATGGAATCACCAAGAAACTAGAATTGATGACTGTAGAGGAATGGGAAGTTCTTATCTAAGTAGCCATACGTTTGTTCGACTTTTATTTTCCTCATTGTTGCTTTCAACATTGTTAGTGAGAAGACTATGTCAATCTCATGGCTGCACTAACAAAAATGTATTAAAATCCTTCGTCTTCGAACAAAATTTTTCTAATGAATAAATTATTCAACATGAAAATGGTAGATAGTACTTCAATGGCTGAACATTTGAATAATTTAAATACTATAACAAGTCATTTATGTCATATCGGCATCAAGTTTAATGACAAGATTAGGAATTTGTTACTTCTATCTTCATTGCCAAAGAGATGGCCTAATTACTGTGGTGAGTAATTCTTCCAGAAATACAAAGTTAAACTTTTTAGGATATCGTGAGCTTAGTGCTGAGTGAATAAGTTCACAAGAAGCAAATGCTGAAACTTCAAATTTTACTCTTAATGTTGAAACCAGAGGAATGTGTTTAGATAGAAATTCAAGATGAGGAAGATCTTTTTGACACCTAAAAATATTTCTAACGACAAAGATGAGCTTATCCAACGAGGTCGACAGCTAACTGACGTGACTTGTATGAGCAAGAGTGATGTAGCCCAAACTCATGCAAAATAGCCTTAAAGAACTTCTAACCACGAAACAGATCATGTCGTTGCAACCGAAATATAAAAATTATCCAATAGAGACCTCTCGCAAGCAAATCTTGTGAAGGCAATTGAAATCATCAAAATGCATGCACACATATAGGCTAGGTCGCTTGAATGACATCCATTCACAAAATGAATAGTGAGAGTGCATTTGGAACATCCCAAAACCTAGGAAAAGACACAAACCAATAATGCTTGTATGTTGGCACAAGAAAATCAACAAAAATTCCACCTGTACACGCTCAATGAAGCAGAGTTAGACATGCGCAAGCAATGAACATGTTAAACCGATCATTGGACCAGTCCAACCATCCAAACTGGAACGGCTCATGTCAATAGGAGGTGGAATAGAGTTTCGCCCTCCCTTGTTGCCTCCCAAACCGTGGGGCACAACATCTCCCATTAGGAAGAAATTAGGGGGGGGGGGGGGGGGGGGGGGAAATATAAAATAGGGGGGGCGGCGGGGTTAGGAAAATTCAAAATAGGGGATGTTTAGATATTTCCTTTTGGATTGTATACTTTCAAGTAGTACGTTATCCTAGGGTTAGGATATGGAGCATTTTGCTAAATTTTGATTGTTCTTCGTTGTTTTGGGCTCTAGTGGCGTCTAGAGAGTAGGGAGAGACGGATCTTCCTCTCCGATTGAAGATCTATTGTGTGCTTTTTACCTATTATTATCAATTTAATCGTTTTACCATTTGTGTTTTCATCAAATTCTTTCACTATATGGTTTTGCGCCTTGCCGAAATTCAAATTCAGCCAAGGAAATTTGGAGATTGACAAGTGTTTTCTATCAAATTGGTATCAGAGCGTTGTTCCGGGCTGAAATCTGGGCTTTCCTTTGCGGTTTTCCTTCCTCCAAATTGCTGATTTCTGCTGATTGAAGGGCAGATTTCTTGTTTTTTTATCACTGTCGAAGATCCGAGTACCTATGTCGACCAAGGTGGGTGCTTTAGAAGAGCATCTTGGAGGAGAGATGAGTCAAATCAAAGCAACGGTGGAGGACAGAATCTCCTCCATGGAGGATAAGTTCTACAACCTAGAAGAGATGGTGAAGAAGGTGTTGGATCTTCACAACCAAACAACGACATCGGAGGCAAAAGTTCTGGTAGGGGGAATATCAATTTCAAAAGGAGGGATGACCACGATACAGAGATCTTGGAGGGAGAAGAAAGAAGACCTATTATCGAACCTATTCAAAGACCTATTATCGAGCCTATTCAAAGGGAGGAGATGGCTAGAAGGTACGGAAAAAAGACGTGAGTATGTGGGGTATGAGCGAAGGGGGGCTGATTTTGAAAGGAGGGGGGAAATTGAAGGTGGGTTTGGGTATGAAAGTGGAAGGGAGGTTCGGGATACTTGGGGAGAACCACCCACGTGGGGAATGTGAAATTATGGAGGAATCACAGAGAACGGGGGAGATCCGAGTATGAGAAACTAAAGATGCTCATCTTTGAGGGAGATGATGCCACCGGGTGGATCTACAAGGTGGAGAGGTATTTTGCCGTTAACGGCTTGACGAAGGAGGAGAGGCTGACCACAGCTAGCCTATGTTTGGAAGGTAAGGCTTTGGTTTGGTACCAATTGAGGGACATGTGACGACCCATATGGAATTGAAGGGAGTTCAAAAATTACTTGTTGAAATATTTTTGAACAAGCAAAGGAGGATACTTCTATGAAAAGTTTTTCGCCCTGACACAGGATGGCTCGGTGGTAAAGTATTGGGAGATGTTCGAGTACCTTGCTAATCGACTAGATTGACTTTCTGAGATGATGTTAGAGTGGAACTTCATGAAGGGACTCAAACCAGAGATCCGGGTAGCAGTTAGAGTGATGAGCCCTCGTGACTTGGGAGAGGCTATGGAGCTAGCATAGTTAATAGGGAACCAAATGCACTTGGAAAGGGGGGGCCAGAGGCAACAGTTTAGGTGGCTCGTACAGGATGACCATCACACTATTAGCTCCGAAAGGGGCCAACACCGGGAAGGCCTTCGTGAGGCCACAAAGGAGAAGCCTGTAGGAGTAGGATTTGGGGGAAATTTTAAGAAGCTTACTGAGAAGGAGGTGCAAGAGAAATGAGCGAAGGAATTGTGCTTCAGATGTGATGAGAGGTACACTCCAGGGAAGAGTAGGGGATGTTTAGATATTTCCTTTTGGATTGTATACTTTTAAGTAGTACGTTATCCTAGGGTTAGGATATGGAGGATCTCACTGTCTGTGATGACAAGGAATCTAAGAAGGGAGGTGAGAGTAAGGCAATGGTAGAAGAGGAAGAGTTGCATCTTGACATGGAAAAAGTCTCCTTAAACTTAATGGTGGGATTCACCCCGAATAACACCATGAAAGTGAAAGGAGAAATAGTAGACAGAGAGATGTAGGTGATGATCGATAGTGGGGCTACCCATAATTTTATCTCCAATCAGGTCGTTGACTAATTGGGGGTAAAATTAGTGGACACCAGGGACTATGGGGTGATGATGGGCACTTGGAAAGTGGAGATGGGTAGAGGCATGTGTAAGGGAGTTGTGCTAACTATAAAGGGAGTTCCGATGAGGGTGAATTTTCTCCAATTAGAGTTGGAAAACACTAATATCATCCTGGGGATAAATTGGTTACAGACCTTGGGTGATACCAAAGGTCAACCAAAGGTCAATTGGCGAGCACTAACGATGGAACTTGTGGTGGAAGGAAGAAGAGTGGTGATCTGGGAAGGCAGGGTTGTCCAAAGCCATGGTATCTTTCAAAACCATGGTAAGGAT